TACTAGCCAATCACAGCTTTCTAGAACTGGCCAATCCCACCTCATTAGTACTAGCCAATCACAGCTTTCTAGAACTAGCCAATGCCACCTCATTAGTACTAGCCAATCACAGCTTTCTAGAACTAGCCAATCCCACCTCATTGGTACTAGCCAATCACAGCTTTCTAGAACTGGCCAATCCCACCTCATTGGTACTAGCCAATCACAGTTTACTAGTACTAGCCAATCTCACCTCATTAGTACTAGCCAATCACAGTTTACTAGTACTAGCCAATTACAACTCAGTAGTGGCGCGGTTCCACCGAGCGGTACGGTACGGGTCGGGTCGGTACCCTTTTATTTGTGTCTCCACTGCCAAAAGTTGAGAATGGTACCAAAAATCCGAACCGTACCGTACCACTCTTTGGGTACCCTTCCGTTGGGGCACCTGGCACAGTTGTTTGGTACTAAAGGGCGGAGCTAGACTCACTGAAGAACGTTGATTGGTTGAAAGAGTGTCGTCATTTGCGCGTGCCACAAGGGGAAAGACAACACACGTAACACACCTGCAGCATGTAGCCTTTGCTCAAACAAAGATTGTTGTGACAAACAGCCACATATCGAGAGGCAAGAACAGGATTGGCTGTGTGTCCTCCATTGTTGTTTGCGGTTAGTTTCAGTTTTCGCGCAATCGAATGACGTCAATCTACTTTCCGTCACACACCACGCCTCTCAAGTGACGTTATCACTACTTGGAATACACCACGCCTATCAAGTAAGGGTACTGTTGGCGGTGGAAACGCTCGCCAAATCATGGTTAACAGACCCAACCCGTACCGAGCCGACCCGTACCGACCCGACCCGTACCGTACCGCTCGGCGGAAACGCGCCATAATTCTCATCAGATTAGACAAGGGGGAGAGTGTCTCCTTTTAATCACAAGGTTAAATAGAATACAGTCAGATTAAAATAAAGAGCCGTTTCATTCTAAAGCTCACATGATCTAAATGTATTAATTAGCCATATTGCCATTCAAACACATGGACCAATCACAGAAGAGCACAGAGTGTCCAATCTGTTTATTTTGTCTTCCTGGAGGCACCAGGTGGGTGGGTTTGTTTGGTTTAGTGTTTGTCTGACTTTGTTTACCCAGAACACACACATACACACACACCTGCTGCAGACAGACGGCCTGCTGCTGACGTCTCGTGTCCCTCACTGGTGACTTGCTCAAGGGCACCTTGACGGCAGCGGAAGGACACTTTCTTCTGTGTTATACTTTCAAAGTAAAGTTAAACCGAGCTAAAAGTCTGAAACTTCCTGTTGTCCGACCCTTTCAAACCAAAGTTAAATTGAGCTGCTGAGGTTTGGCACTATCCATTGTCCAACCCTTTCAAATTAAAAGTCTGACACTTGTTAAATATAATGTACTTTTACATTTTAAAATGTTTGTTTTGTCGACAATTCTTTATTTGTTTTTTTCTTGCATATCTTTGTGGCAAAAATCATATTCAAGCCATTTCAAAAGAGGTACTTTTTACCTTCTTTTGTTATTACATTTTCTAAATTCTAAATACTAGCATTATGAACTCTTTTGATGTACATATACATGTACATATACATCAAAACTGCTGTTGACAAGAAACACGTTTCTGGCTACAGGCTTGATGCTAACGATAGCTAGTTCATCGTTGTGTGTCTGTGTGTGTGTGTGTGTGTGTGTTTGTGTATGTGTGTGTGTGTTTGATTGATTGATTGATTGATAGATACTTTATTGATCCCTCAAGAGGGAAAGTTTAGTATCACAGCAGCATGTACAGGGAAAAAATAGAATAAAAAGATACACATTATATACAATATAATTAGAGAAATATTCAATTATTAAATTAAATTAAGTTAAATAAACTAAAACTGAAACAAAAGAATAACCTTCCAACAGAGACAATAATAATAATTTGTAAAAGGAGAAGAGGAAGAGGAGCAACATCACAGCAGTACAGCGGTATTATTGTCACTGTGTGTGTGTGTGTGTGTGTGTGTGTGTGTGTGTGTGTATGTGTGTGTGTGTGTGTGTGTATATGTGTGTGTGGGTGTGTGTATATGTGTGTGTGTGTATGTGTTTGTGTGTATATATATGTGTGTGTGTGTATATGTGTGTGTGTGTGTGTGTGTGTGTGTGTGTGTGTGTGTGTGTGTGTCCCTCAGCAAGGGCAAAGCCTCCATTACAGCTTTAGAACATGAGGTCATTTTTACATCCGCTGTGTTTTGTGCTGCTCACTAATGTTGATACTGTTTCTGCTGGTGTTCTATAGTCTATATACATGTAGGTTGTCTCTCAGGGTCTGATGACGAGGCTGTGACGTCCTGATGATGTCACAGAGCCTCAGCAGTTTGAATGTCTTTGGGTGAAATGCATCCTGGGAGATTGCTTCCTCCTTTCTTCTCTTTTGTCCCGGTTTGTTCAGGACATTTAGGGTCTTCCCATAAACGACATCACTAACATTCAGTTTTTATTTAAAGTGTGCATTTTGTTAAGCTCCACCCACTCAGCTATTGGTCAACCAATCAGGTTGCAGCCTGTCCCCTTAGCTAAAGACATGTTTGGAGGAGGAGGAGCTTCCTCATAGTCCCACAGACTCTTATTGAAAGGAAGCAGCTGAACTCAGCATGTGTGTGACAGGAAGTCATTCCGTCAGTAATTAGGTGGAATTAATCAGACCTGAAATGTATGAATCGATGCAGAAAAAGCTCATTTAGAAAATGAAATAAACCTACTGAGTTCCCCGCTGTGACGTCACAACAGAACCCGCTGCTTCAGAAACTCATCCAGAGTTTATGTAGAGTGACTGGAACTAAATGTGATGTTGACGGTTTCTGTTTTTGTTTCCTCCCTTGTTCATTTTCTGGATGTTTCCCTCTCGAATATTATATTTCATATTGTAGAAGTTTTTTTAAAGTCTAAAATAACACAAATGCATAATTTCTTAAATTAAGATCTAAATTGTTGTGTAAAGTACAATTTGCAAATCAAGATTCTAAAATTCTCTAGATTTTTATCTTTAGATAATTATCTTTCACAGATGTGCTAAATGTTAACGTTTGATCTAATATCTCATAATATGATTTAAATATAAAGCTTGGATACAAAGCTGTCTTATAAAACACTGTAGATGATACATATTTTATGGATAAGGAATAAAATATTCAAGTCATTTTCAGCCTGAAACGATCGGTCCATCGTCCAGATCCAGTCTAACAGTAAATAGTGAAAGTTGTGTGATTAGTTCATTGTAGAAGTCCTCTACTGAGCATGCTCAGTAACGCACTGCCCCCCCCCTTCACCTCCGGCTGTTAACATAACTGATGAAAGCCTCCCCCCTCCCCCCTCCTCTCTCCCCCCTCCTCCCTTTCTTTATTTCCCCAGTTCTTCCTTCTGGCGTCAACGACATTCTGTTTATTTATAGACCAGAGAAAGTAAAGAAATGTGTGTGTGTGTGTGTGTGTGTGTGTGTGTGCGCTACCTGAGCAGGTAACACACACACACACAGATAAACACACATAAACACAGCTTGTATCCGTGCATGTAAAACACACACACACACACTGACGTCAACATCCTGACGGGGGGGCATGAGGAGAGAGGGGAGGAGACAGGGGGAGGAGACAGGAGTAGACAGGAGGAGACATGAGGAGAGAGGGGAGGAGACAGGGGGAGGAGACATGAGGAGAGAGGGGGAGAGAGGGGGAGGAGACATGAGGAGAGAGGGGAGGAGACAGGAGTAGACAGGAGGAGACATGAGGAGAGAGGGGGAGGAGACAGGAGGAGAGAGGGGGAGGAGACAGGAGGAGAGATGAGGGGGAGGAGAGATGAGGAGAGAGGGGGAGGAGACAGGAGGAGAGATGAGGGGGAGGAGACAGGAGGAGAGAGGGGAGGAGACAGGAGGAGAGATGAGGGGGAGGAGACAGGAGGAGAGATGAGGGGGAGGAGAGATGAGGAGAGAGGGGGAGGAGACAGGAGGAGAGATGAGGGGGAGGAGACAGGAGGAGAGAGGGGAGGAGACAGGAGGAGAGATGAGGGGGAGGAGACAGGAGGAGAGATGAGGGGGAGGAGACAGGAGGAGAGAGGGGAGGAGACAGGAGGAGACAGGAGGAGACAGGAGGAGACAGGAGGAGAGATGACCTGGACCACGGCGCCCACACTTAGATTCCGCGAGCGCAAATCGAATCGATATAAAGAAGTAGGAGCGAGTCGTCGCCACGAGCATTCTTCACATGTCAGTCATTACTTGATGAACCGCACTGATTGACAGCTGAGTGTCTATCGAAAGGACTTAAATGTGTCCATTAGTAATGATCTCTAATCAGCATTGTCATCAGTCATATGATCTTTTTTCAAAGGCAGGCGATAAACCGACATCTGGAGACACTGAGACTTTAATCATGGCCTTACCGTGGACAGATTTCCCATGATCCTCTGCTTCGGAGACCTTTGCACTCGTCTGTGATTGAGCTGCCGTCCCGTGATTGGCTCTTTGTGACGGAGCGTCCAATGTTCTCCCATGATGCTCAGCTGCAGACCTTTACTAACACTTTATAGACCTTAGACCTGATGGATCCACATCGGAACCTGCAGCATCACAATGAGCCCCTGAGCCTCAACAGGTTGCTAAGCAACCAACCAATCAATGCTAACGAACGTTAAACTGCCTCAATGTCAGTTGTACATTTAATGTTAATGTGATTATAACTAGAGCATTAATAACTACTATAACAACTATAATCACAATTTATGATCAATTAGAACATTATTATATTGTTAATACTTATTAAAATAATAGGACGTCTTAAAGATTGCTGTAGTTCATGATGATGTGATGATATTGAGTCTTAACCCAGTGTTTGTACCCAGTTGTATTTTTCATACTCTATAACCTGAAACAAGGACTGATGATGTGACTGATGACCTCATGGTCAGCGATGACTCACGATGACCTCGTGCTGCGTCTCCTGTGTGTCTGCAGGCTAAGGACAGCGATGACGATGAGGAGGTGGTGCAGGTGGACCGGGACCACTTCATGGATGAATTCTTTGAACAGGTGATACACGAGAAACAAGAATCACAACGATCGGCTTCAATGTTCATTTGGTCTGAACAAGTCGCCACATTTAAACCGCATAATGTCATATGAAATGTGTTGAAATGGAAAAAAGAAGAAATTAAGAAGACTTCCACTCCAGAAATGGTGAGAAGGAGGAATTTAGACGCAAAATGAGTAATAACACATTGGTTATTGGGAGAGAGGAAAAGAAACTGTCTAAGTGCTTTTATTGTGAAGCTTGTTGGAAGCAGGTCTCTGATGTCTCTGAGGTCACAGTTTGATCCGTTCTGCAGAGCGACAGACGTCCTGCGGAGGTAAAGATGTGTGTGTGTGTTCAGGTGGAGGAGATCAGAGGCTGCATAGAGAAGCTGTCGGAGGATGTGGAGCAGGTCAAGAAGCAGCACAGCGCCATCCTGGCCGCCCCGAACCCGGACGAGAGTAAGTCACAGGACGACAACCACTTCCATTCACACACAAACTCACTTTTCATTTTTAGTCATAAGAACAATGTTCGGTTTGTTGTGATGTCGTCTCTCTGCATGTTGCATGAACAACTATGAAGGTTACATTTACCTCCTCCCTCCTTTCCTCTTTCCTCTCCTCTTTCCTTCCTCCCTCGCCCCTGGTCTCTTTTGTGTTTTTTTTGCATGCTGAGGTTTCTTATCTTGAAGTTATTTGTCTGCATGAAGTCTGGTTCCTCTTGAGAAGATGAGAAGGTGGGTCTTCATCATATCACATCATGTCAGAATCTTCTTTTTCTTCTTATTTATCATCGTCTTCCTCTTCTTTTTATTTGTTTGTGTAAATATTAAAAAAACACAGGAAGCATGTTTTCACCAGCCAACACTGTTTTCATGTTGTCATGGCCACAAGACGTCCGTTGGTCAACAAACCTACATATAAAATCACAACAAAGAAATCTGCGTCTTCTATTATTTATAATATCACAGTATCTTTGTTGTTGATCCATCTGAGAGTTTTATGGTACGTAAAGAACCTGCAGGATGTAACAGCTAGTATCCTTGGTCATAGGGTGGTCAGTGGTTCCTCTGCTGCAGGAGTTTAGTAAGTTGTCCTCTTTCTCTCCTGCGTCGTGTCGTCACCAGCAGGACACGAGTCACGTTTGGCTCCATGAAGGAAATAGTGTCTTCAGACCTCGTGGCATCAAACATTCTAGCTTTCTAACAACACAAGCTAACTAAATTAGCAATCGGCTAGGACTCTTGCTAGGGGCCAGTTTACTGGTTGGACACCGTTAGACACAGGGCGCCACACCCATGTACCCGCCGGGGGCCACCAGGGGCCACCAGGGGCCCGCCGGGGGCCACGTGGACACCCTGTCCATCATCCGTAGAGATGGAAGTGGAATCATACATGCCGTTACACAAGGAAGCAGCAAGCTCCGTTCCAGCTCTTACGTGCGCCACTCCTCCACTTCACTTCATTTCACCTCGTTAATCTGAGTCTATTTCAAAGAAACCGATTGATCATTCTAAAACATTAAGGAGTTTTTAGCAGCTTTAGCTCGTAGAAACAGAGGGTGAGTCAGAGGAGACGAGGCTGAACAACCCTGCAGAGCTCGTAAATCTTAACAGCACTGCTGCAGTTATCACACACACACACTGCACAACACACACA